CCATTCGTCGACGTTATCGGAGACGATTTTTTTCTCGTCCTTTGCGCGCGATAAGTCCTCGGACCAATTGTTGTTTCTTGGAGCAAAAATAATAACAGTAATTATCGGCCGTACCGTATAGAGAGGTGTTCACACTTTATTTGTTTCAATCTGCCCCAATCGTTCGTCGGCCGCAATAATCGAATAATATACTGCAATTGCAGTTATTGTTTTTTTTTTTTATCGCAAACGTATTTGTGCGTATTACGCGTCGATAATACTATATAATAGTAGTTTTAATAGAACAAGACCAGTTTTTGACGCTCGTCGAAAGATTATAAAACGGAAAAATATTATATGGCGCACTTATAATACCTACAAAGTTCAATACGAGTGTGAAAACCGTGTGTGTGTGTATGTGTGTGTGTGTGCACGCGCGGTAGTGTTCAGTGAGTTTTTCGCTCCGTTGGTGTCTGGATTTAATGTGATTTATTGTGCTGCAAAAGGTGAGATTTAATCTTAAGTATACTGCAGTGTATGGAATAAATGAAAAARAAACGTAGGTATAATGCACAGACTTGTGACCGAAGATCCGGCCGCGAGTTTAGTAGTGAATGCAGTAATCAGTAATAGCTGGTAGTAATCGAAAGAGTTAAAAACAACACACCTATATTATATACCTATACCTAATAAAAACAATAGGTATTTTTTATTTTCATATCAGTGAATCGTCTTCAATATTATTCGAATATATCATAGACGATGAAGCCGATATATATCTACARATAATCGGTCTCATCGGTAAATGTCTGCACTGTATTACTGCAGTAATTTATAAAATAAATTACAACTTATAACTCAAAGRTTTTTCTACGAATGAGGGTAGGAGTAAAATGGACATAGATACCACAAATATACCAAATCCTCATAAATCAAGTCTTTATCGACTATAAGTACAGGTACCACAGATATATGGAATAAACTAGATTGCTAACTGTGATACGGCGTCTGTGTAATTGGTTGAAGTCATTGGCCGCCATTTTAAACGAGGCCAATATTCGTTATAACTTGTGTTTAAAAGATAACGTAGACTGATTTTTATTTTGTAATAATAATTATTAATTATCATTTTCCAAAATTTAAAATTTAAAATAATAAACTATAATCATAATTTAACGTCTAAGGTCTTACTAAATAGTTTAACACTAAAACACTTTAATATAATAATATTGTTAATTGAATTCAGTATTACAATATAATAATAATAATTAATAAAACGATAAAAACTATTACAAGAATTGTAGGTATAATATATTATATTCAAAAGTCACATATTATAAAATAAAACAGTCTTTGCATGTTAGCTTTTGTCTCTTACTTACTTACTGTTTTAAAAATGGAAGACGTCATTATTTTGYTGTAAGCATGTAACCGTATATTGAGGTATGTTCTAATTTTTTTCTATTACGTTGGTGGTTTCTGCATAGGTTGAAGATTTAATTGTTGACAATGTTGACATCAACTCCTATAGTGACATGGATMATTTAATTATGTTTACAGACCTAAATTACTGCTAAAAAATAGAAAATCCTTGAATTCTTTTTATATTTATTTATCGATCTTTATTTCATTTATCTTATTTAAACGAACATACATATATTTTTAACAAGCAGCATATAAGTAATTTAATAGTTTTAACATTAAGTCTTGTAAAATCACATAATCAAGTAMCAAACATATATTTAACAAGCAATMACATATTATTATAGTTTTAACATTTAGTCCAATAAAATCAGACAAACATATTTGATTAAAACTATGGGCATATTATATTACAAAATACTAGGCTTGTTATTTTAGATATATAACAATTTATTAATCATGTCATCAATTGCTATTTTATTTTAATAAAATAAAATCACCAAAATAATTTACTAGTATAATAAAACATGGATGTTTAACATTTTTAACGAGCAATATCTGACACAATAGTTTTATCATTAGCTAAATAAAATAACAAGAATAAATTACAAGTAACAAACATATAGTATATACATATATTTTAAATAAGCAATAATTACACATTTAGACATAGGTAATAGTTAAAACATTTAGTCCAATAGAATCACACTAGCCCAACATATCAGGTTAAAACAAAGGACATAATATTATATTACAATAGACTAAGCAACACTTGTAAGGCAAAATTAAAATAAATTAATTCACAAAATTGTCAAAATTGTAGAAAGTGAAAAACAAAAAAAAACAAAAMAAAATATGATTTTGGTGCTAAAATAAATTAATTTATTATAAATATAAAATATGTGTGATAAGACCCATTGGCCTCTTTTTAAATGGCGGATGGTAACTTCAAGTCTTATCACAGTTAGCAATTTAGTTTATTCTATATATCTGTGACAGGTACCGAGTATACACATAATTTTTGAAAATAAACTCTTTAAAAATTATTTAAAATTTTKTGTTTGTGATTATTTATTGATATAAATATTGACGATWAGAATTKTTGATTTTCCGTTGAATATTTGATCGCATTGCAGTATTATAAAATGACCTACCCAAGTAATATGGGGTATTAATGTATTTTATTATGGGTGATTATATTTGCGTATCACTTCGTTTGGAAATCTACATCTCCCAAATTTAAACACRTAAATTCGCACATAGAGAATTTTGCTGCTCGTTTGGTATTGGCTTTTCGAGAGGTCTGCGGAAGTAAKGCCCGTTTTATAAAGAAAAAATATCCGTTATCTCGAAAGTAGCTGGTCAGTCACTTCGTCTTCTTCGGACGACGACGTTATTAGTGGGTAAAATGGTGTGCGTATCGGGGTCTGTAAATTCCGTTTAAAACTCTGACCTCGCCAAATTACATAATAATACGCCCGTAATGCTTATAGCAGACACATTGAATGTGTAGTATTATAATATTATATGGATAGGTGACTCCTACGACGGATGTCTATACATACCTACCTATAGTGTGTAAGTATATGCGTGCACAACCGAATAACCTTTTTCGTCGTCGACTGCAACAGCTATCTCCTCGTTATAATCGTGTTTTAAGGGCGTGTTGAACAATAAAATGTGTACGATATAGGAGTTCGTATCATACCCATACTTGTATTTATTTATTTATTTATATATATATATAATACATTATAAGTAGGTACGTGTTCGCGAGATAAGACGACGTGTCCTTGAAAACAATATAATGTGTAGTTGTATTGTATATAATGTAATRTAATAAGTATGTTGCACCCGGTGGCTGTGTTCGCTTGACCTTCCGGTCTCCTCCCGTTTTATGTGATTTTTATTATTTTTTCTTTGATTTCCCTCGAAGATGATTTACGAGAAATCGTGTCAATACAACGACGCTCGCCGGCGGGTGTTCAATGATAATAATATTATAACAATAATCGTTTTGACCGAAAATGTATGTTTCGGATGCGCATTAAAAAGTTCTTCTCTGCCAACAGAACGATAAGTGTAAACTATTCACGCAACGCGTCTTATTGTATAATATAATAAAATTTGTTGGCGCAGAAAATGAGTAATAAAATCAACAGATGATTTTCTGGCACTTTTTACAATACTTTGATGTAGTTTTTTTTTTCTTAAGGGGGAACCTGCAGTAACATAGGCCACTGGGTGTGAAATAGTTACGGTGGAGTTTATTTTTGTTTGTAGGTTTATAAGTGAGCAGTGTTATAACACGTGTTTGTGTATGTATGGCAAGGATACTATCTTGCTAAATATCCTGGGTGGTCACACATACGGAAGTTAGAAACTGCGGCCTGTGCGTTTATGAAGATTGAGCGTACTATGACACCTCGCCAAGCCACTGTCGTAGTTATTGTTCCTCATAATATTATACATTTGATGTATAAATGAGAATGAGTCGTTCGGTTCATTGAATAATTTTATATTGGAATTATTTGGCTGTTTGTAGTTCAATAATAATTGTTGTATTATTCTTACGTATACAGATTTAAAAAATAATTATTATACGCTTCAGTTATGTTAACAGAACATTGATAAAATCAAATGGTAAAAAAATCATAATTTTTTTAACAATGCACTTTATATAAATATAATAGTATTTATTTAAATCAATAGATTGGTTTCACRTGCTCTATCCACGATACAATAGATAAAACTAAATTTGGCGACGATGCCATMAATAATATTTATCGTTTAAGTACCTATAAAACCTCTAACATACGGAACRTCTGCAATTATTCAATTTATTTTATATAAATTCAGTGCAAAGTCTGCAGATCAATCTAAACAAGGAATCTATTGAAGCTGTTTGAAATTGGATTTTGAGAAAAWTTTTATTTTCTAGTATCATTATTCACTTAATATTTTAAGAAGATTATATTTTAATTAAACCTGATTTTTCGTAGTCATTCTATATTATTTTTTTGTATGTTTTTATAACATATTATAGGTTCTACTGTCTATTTGAAGTTGGTTTAATCAATTAAGTATACCTTTGGATTTTCTGTTTTAAATTTAAATTGCTTATTTATTTATGTTTTTGAAATGTCGATTTACCAAAATGATTCACGTGTCGTATAGCAAGGGAGAGGAGAGAGGGCTCTAAATGCCACCTTGATACTACATCGATGATAGGTATTATAATATATATATTATTGTAGTGCAGGTATCTCTGAAATCGTAGGCGACACCATGGAAACTGGTCTCGCATTAATTTCGCTACGCCTCTATGTATCGTTTGTTATTAAAATCGAGCCCCATCTTACCCCCTTACACTTTAAGGGATACAATTTATCATTTTTGTCGTTTTGTAATCGTCTACGAAATCGTGTATCGACTGGAGTCCGCGTATACTGGGTGACCTTGTGACACTCATCGTTCCTTTCCGTTTTCACGGAAATTATTTAGTGTACTTACTCGCCTGCCTATACCTATTTACTGTATTATATCAAAAATATAAAATACGAAATATAATTTTAAATGTATTATTTTTGCATCCACAGGCGTCCGTGGTTATATGGAGGGACGACGTCCGGTCGGTTAGGTTAGGAGGCATGACCGGATCGTTGCGTCTGAGCGCCCTGCTGTTGCTGTTGCTGTCCCGCTGGGCGTCCGCGGACCTCGAGAAGGGCGAGGACGAGTACGTCCGCAGCTGGGTCATCATCGAGGAACAGCTGGTGCCGCCGTCTAGGGACGAGCCGCTGGCCACCGGCGGCGTGGGCACGGCTGGCGGCGGCGTGGCCGGTCGGCGGATCACGCCAAAGTCGGTGTTCGTCGCCCCGTCGTTCAACAAGTGTTCGGACGGTTACCGACCGGACAGCATGGGCCGGTGCGTCAAAGTGGTCAAGATCAACCAGGCGGCCCAGTGGGACTTTCTYATCAAGCAGCTGAACTCCATGTACGGCGCTGGTGCAGCTGGCGGAGGCGGATTTCCCATGTTGCCGGGCGCCTCGGCGTACCAGCCGGTGACCACCACGACCACCGAACCGCCGTCACAGAAGACCGATAGTCCGGGACCGTTCCAACTGAACATACCGTTGGGCGGTGGCATAATCGGTGACGTGGACTCGTCGTACAACCAGACGATGGACTCTTTGGACGAACTTATTACCGGCACTACTACCACGGCCGGTACCACTACGACAACCAATCCAACTACTACTACAACTACTGCCGCTGCCGCCGTCTCCACAACCGTCGCGGACGACGAAGACGACGACACCGCCACCACCGACCATCACATTACGACCACAGTCAACGGCGACCTGGACGACCGCACTGCCGCGACTGTGACCGCRACCGCTGTCACGACTGAGACGGCGGATACCGCCAGGCCACGACCGTACCGTAACCGCTATCAGACGACGCACGCCGAGGACGCCACTACTGTCACTCCGCCTCCTTACGACTCAACTACCACCGTGACGTACGCGAAAACAAAGTAAGTCAAACTGCAGTTTTCTATTGTTATAACCTACGTTTTTGCAKTTTGTTTAAATCTGTAAATCAGTCATGTTCCCTCAGCAATGGGTATACCAATRTTTAKKTGTTTTCRATATTAGACAATTCAATGTAATACGAAGGAACGGGCCCTAAGGTAATAGTCAGMAATAGGTGTCAAGCGGAGAGGAAATATAATTAGACAACCAAAAATATTTTAGTTAAATGCCAATTTTAATTTTAATTTACTTAATATTTTCTGTCTCTCTAGTGTAAACCCAAAATTACATATCCTAAAARGTTTTCAGGACATCGAACATTTTTTGATGTGAAACTGGCCCCTAGTCCAAGAAAGTCAAACAATATAGTATACAAAACATTCACAGAATTTTGGTAAACTAACGAAAATATCTATTACCTGTTGTACTGTACCTGTTYCTTCTATGAACCACCAATACTGACTTAACTAGTTTGTAGCTAATCGATGTCATCRCGTGGCATATATCATAGATTTATGAATATATAGTATTTTATCTCTAAGTGATAAAAATTAKTATCATAAATACTAATTGAATAATAGTGATAAAAGAAAAATAACAAATAAAAATAAAAATTGAATATTAATCAAATTAATAATTATATTATGTATAATAATGAWTAACCACACAACTGTACCTATTATTATTTTTATTTTATACCWATAAAATTATAACCATGTGTATAAATCAAAAATCACTCAAGTTGAGTCAGTGTATGTCACAATTATAGATAGAATTAAATAATCGTGGTGTATGTACAACATGMTATTATAGACGTGACAAACATCGATAACATCGTTACCATGTTCATATTATTATTGGTATTTTTCTATTAGTTTTGTATAGTTTTTGAGTTTTTKAATATGTGTTTTTACAGTTCTTGCATTATTTTATGTATGATAAAAATGATTAATTTTTGTTAAAAAATGTAGGTAGCCCAACTAATTGTATTGGTATGTTTGAATCACGCTTCGTGCTGATTTTTTTTTATCACGATGTGTACGTTCCACGTGCATGTATACTTAAAATCGCTAGCAAATCTTCGAAACTATTTTTTCTGTGAAAGCAAATATGCCAAATGTTTTTTTAGCCACTCAATCCATTCGCAGACCGATGGCCATGTATGTAAATACCTAGTGAAAAAAAAATGTAGATGATTCACGTTCCCGTGCTTATAAAACGTTTTATAATCCCACGTTTATGGGAAAAGAAAACGAAACTTATAAATCCCTCTTTATTATTCAATTAAAACTAAACGTTGAAAACAATCAAATGATTTCAAYGCGTGAAGAAACATTTTAATTTTAATTTCTCTCGTTTTAGTATCAATATATTTGAAACTGTCGCGTTAACGAGCAGYTTAACGTTTAAAAACTAACGACTGTTCCGCGTTTAGCATAATATTTACATATMTATATGTAAAAAAACTCGCAGAATTGTGTCACATATTATCATGGCAGCGTATACGTTTTTGCGATTTTGAAATCTTCAATGCGGTCTTTAAAACTAGTTTTCTTACATATATTATTATTGGATGCACCTGCAACGTGTTTTCCATGCTGT